CCTCCTCCTCCATATCATCCTCCTCCTCCTCCTCTTTCTCTCCTCTTTCTCCCTCCTCTTTCTCCTCCTCTTTCTCCTCCTCCTCCTCCTCCTCCTCCTCCTCACTCCTCCTCTCCTCCTCTTCCTCCTCCTCCTCCTCCTCCTCCTCCTCCTCATCCTCCTCCTCTTCCTCTTATTTCTCTTCTTCCTCCTCATCCTCCTCCTACTCATCCTCCTCTTCCTCCTTTTCCTCTTCTCCCTCCACCGCCCGCCCCATGTCCCGAGCTCGTGGCAGGGTCATCAGCTCGTCGTTGTCGTTGTCGTCGTGATCGTCGTCGTTGTCGTCGTCGTCGTCGTCGTCCTTGCGGGTCGGCGGCACTGGCCGTGAGGCGTTCAAAATGAAATGGACAGGGGCTAATTCTTCCCCAAGGCTGATCGACGGGGGTTTAATGCCCCGGGGGTAATGGACAGGGGTCCATCATTCTGTTGGAATAACAAACCAGGTTTTCGTTACCCCCTGGAAACCATTCACTAGGGCTCATGTTTCCCGAAAAATGGGCAGGGGGTCAATTTTCCTGAGTGCGATACCGCGGTCGATTATTTCAGAATGATCATACAGAGTGCCATTCGTGCGTAGCCCATCCTGCAAGGATGGACCAAAGAGGCACGGATGCAAGGGCACCCTCGGGAAAGGTTACCCATCCTTACCATTTGGTTTCGATCGCATTGCGGGAGGGCGCCGTTGGCTCGCTCCATCGGTCAGCGCCCTGCCTAGGCAACTGCCCGCATCCGTCCGCACCCTGGCATCCTGCGAGCCTCGCGCGCCGGTGCCCAGCAAGTCTCCTGCTGTGGTTCGGCCGGGGAGGGCTTATTGCGGCGTCGTTGTGCTCGCGGCCTGCTGACATTGCATTCCAAGAGGACACTTGGCTGCGAGCCCAAAGGGGTAGTGAGAACGGGCGGGCCTTCTCAAAAGTTGTCTGAGCGAGTGCTTCGGAAAAGTCCCGCCGCCTTCCGAAAAGGCCTTCTCCTTCTCACGTTCCCCCTCGCTCGCCGCCGAGATACCTTGACCTCCCAGGCCTCGAATGCTTATGCTGCTGCTGCCATCTCTGCCTGCTCGCTGCGAAGGCTCGCGTCAGGCACGCCGTGAGGTCGAGCAGCGGGTCGGTCACGGCACCACCAGCGTTGATAGATTCGCTGCCACGTGCGTTAGGTCCGCTTCTCAGGAGGCGGCTGCCCTCCTGAGCTGCCTATCCCGCAGCCACTCTTAGGGGGCCACATGCGAACCCTACCCCACCCTCCCCCTTCAGAAATCGTGGGGGGTAGGGGTAGGGTTCGCATGTGGCCCCCTAACTCTGCATCCACATGACAGAACACTGGCACCAGCACGATACGCAAGGAGCGGCCGAGGTGTGGACAGAGATGTTTGGAGCAGTTGACCTGGCCTGTCCAACTTAAACACATGATGCAAACGCGGGCACTGTCGCGGGGAGCTCCGCGTCGAAGATTTCCTTCTTCGAGTTCCTTTTTGTCCGGCGGGCGCTGACCGAGAGCGGGCGCCGACGCGCCGTGCCCAGGAAAGGCCACCTGCACCGAGTTAAGCGGGGGGGGGAGGGAGGGCCCCCACGACCCCGGCCAGCACAGGGGAGTGCCCCCGCCCTTGCTTGGGGTCCCAAACGACGCGGGCCCCAAAACTGCGCGATCGCCCCGAATCCCAACGGACTCACCGCACGGTGTGAGAGAGAAGCTGAGTGCAAAAACGCACATGAGCACGAAAAACAGCCTCAGAGGGCATCGCAATACCGCGTGACGGTCGCGTGCCAGGCTGCGATGGACTGCACTGAATATTGCCAAAGATGCGCAAGGGCCTCCTCACCCCCAGCTGCCCGGACAGCGTGCGCACGGTGAGGGTGAGCGTTTTCTTATTCGGCGTTTCGACCAAGTGGGCGGAAGGGGGGGAGGAGGGGGGGGTCTGGCTCCGGACCTCTGCTTAGCGCGGCTGTTTACAACCGCGCGTCCCACGGGGGAGACCCCACCTGCTCGAAACAGGCGCCCAAAAACAGCCAAGATCTACTCCATGGGGGGGGAGGGGGATGCGAGGGCCCTCGCCGATCGGCAAAACAATGAATCAGAAAACGATCACGTGGTCACCCTACTGGTTAGGGGCGTCGCGTCTTGCTGGCTTCGAGACGCCTCCTCGTGGCAGCATCCATCGTGCCAGCGACTCTGCCAAGTGCGCCTGCGCCGTGCCTGCGCTCGCGAATGTTTTTTTTTTTTCTGGCAGCTCACGCACAGGCTGCCCGTCGTCGCTCTCGCTAATACGGATGGTATGCCTGTGGTGTGCACCTGGATGATGAGCATGCTCAAAGCCTTCTCGCTGGCATTAGAAAGCCCAGGGTTCGCGAGAGACTGGTCTCCCTCAAAACGACGAAGAGCCTTCCGAAACCCTCCCGAAACCCTCTGAAAAGCCTCTTGGAACCCTTCTGGAGGGGTTTCGCGTGTGTTCGGGAGGGTTCCCCGGCTG